CAGAAAAAATATTCGTTTTAAAGACTTCACACGCTTGGAACGTGTTGAAGATATCATTAATATGGCATTATAACGAAACTTGAATGAGTTTAAACGCGTTTTTTTTTGGAAGTCTTGTCCGCTTGAGGAGTGAGCATTATTCCTGACTCGTTATACACCTATATTATAGGTGACGTTCTCTTTTCTCTTCCTTTATTCTTTCTTTTCTATTTTTTCTTCTTCAATTCTGTGTATGATTAACATACCAGCTTGTGTTCTTTTTTCGTTAATTTAAAGATATTTTTTCATATACATCTTTTAACAAAGAAGAAGATTATTCTGAATTTTCGTTGTTCTTCTTGTTGTTGAAATTCTTTGTTTTTACATAATAAACGATTCTTTCGTTTCACTTCACCAAATTCAAAAAGCACATCCTATCTAACTCACAAGAAAAAGGTTTGTCCTTAAATCAGCGAGTGATTTTGCGCGAAAAGCATATTTTCGGACACAATAGGTAGGAGAATGCTCAATCTATGTTTACTAAAGTATACGCTCTAGCAATTAATTTAATAATGAACACATTCTTTATTTCCACATCCTGTCGTTTGTTTAATTATATTTGCAGGTTGTTTAGTTTACTTTTGTATATATTTTATCGAAAGTATATATATATATATTATAATAAGAAAGTATACTTACGATTCGACTCATGCTGCAGTGTATGGTTATTAACGAGATTATACTTTAATTTTTTTACTTTCATTAAATCATCACTGAAGCGTGACATCTTGACAAGATAATCTGCATTTTGTGCAGGGATACGAGTGTAACTGTCAGTATACTTTTCGGTCTTACTGTTCTTTTTCGTTCTTCCTTCATTTTTTTTTCGTTCCGTTTGTTTTTATTTTCATACTAGAGAAAAAATGTATTAATATTTATAGACTCAAGCACATGATAATCGATTCTCAAAAGGACATAGTTGAATATAGTTATTTTCCATTATTTTTTTTTCGAATTTGAATAGCTAGAAAGAATCAGTATTAGTGTTTTGGTCGATTAATGCTATTTAGACATCTCCCTGAAAAATTGAAAAAAAATTTCTTTATAAGTTATTGCACAGTAAGGAAAACCTATTCTGCTTCATTAATCTCACGGGTTTCACTGCAAATATACTTATATGTAGTTCCAAGTGAGATGGAAAACATCAAAAGCTTCAGGTTCTAAAACCATTTTCTTGTCGAGAGATTCAATCTACGACAGAAGCACTCTAAGATAAAAAATGAGAATAATCATAACAGTACTCATTCACTGTATCCCTCACCATTATTCATTAATAATGTTTCTAGCCATGATATTTGCTGAGTCAATAATACAGTTGGTACTTCACAGACTGCCATATTCAGATCCACTTTTTCCGCGGATTAAATCCTACCGAGGTGTTTCATAAACCCTAGATATATATACGCCCTACCTTGTGAGCAGGATTTTCATAGCTTATGAGTGAACTATGGATTTCCACTTTGGAATTAAGTACTACTGACTTCTAGTTAGGAGTAAGAATTTTCAAAACTTTGGGCTTTTGCTTTTGACCAGAACAAAACCATTTTCTGATATTTATGGGAGCTGATCTCGATACAATTACGGTCCACTTTCAGAAAAACTGCTCAGTCGACGATCGTCTATATGGCTATTTTTTGTATATGACTATAGAAGAAACTGTTTGATGAATTTCTACTAGGCCCGTTCGAAAATACTCGAAAACATTCAGAAATCAACAAAAACGCTGTATCATACAAAATAAGTTTTAATGCACTCTGAACTAACACATGATCCTCTATCGCCTGATACATGTACATTCTCTGACAAGAACAAAATATTTTTGGCTTCTATACCATGAAAGGATACAGAAATTTGAGGAGAAACTTTCTTTTTCTAATGACATAACCAATATTTAGAACCACACAGGGATCGATACCCTAATTTTACCTAATTTCTCACAATTCCAATTCAACAGGTTTTACAAGAAACAAAAAGAAGAACTTTCTTGAGCTTATACTCGTATATTCTTTCGGTTTTTAGGAGTCACTTTGCTTTTCATTTTCAAAATAGTTGTCTATGCCAGTAGAGTATCATGCACTTATTCGTAGTATAGATATAAACTCAATTCATATGATGAAATGAATCTATTACTTTCCAAACGATTAAGCTAAATAATGAAAAAAATAGAGAATTACCTTGGTACACTTATTTTAAAAAGATTCTCTAATACAGTTGACAAAAGAAAACGCCAATTGTTGTATGGATTATTGGTCTTCGGTACTTTCCATGGTCAAAATTTCAGCGTTTGAACTTTATCTGCTCTTGTGATATGTGAAGTGCCAGCAATTGGAAACCTTTAGCAAAGTTGTTTTTGGCGTTTTTCTCGCATGATTCAATATAGTTCGTTCAGTTATCTCTAAAAAAGTTGTTTTGGGCATATTCAAACGATAAGCTTTTTTAGTAAAACTTTGAAGATTTATCTATCCAAATTTTGTTTTTGAATTAACTTGTTATATTATTAGGAAAAAGATTATGCATGTTGTTTTTGTTAAACATTGTTTGAATATTCAAAAAAATGATTCTTTTCTACATGAAAACAAAACACTATTAATACGAAGTTGTATTTTAAGATTTTGATCAACTGAACTTCAATCTCGAAGAAAACGAATATCATATTTAGAGTAAGCAGAAAAATCTGAATCGAGTAGTATAGTCAATAGTCAAAACTAGTTTTCGTCGGATTTCACTCTTCACATCCCGTTACTGTTATTGTCGAATACTGTGACCTATGCTTCTTTTAAGGCGAAAATTTGACAAAAATTAATTTTAAGTATTGCGCATACTGTTCGATTGAAATAATTTTGTTGATTCAAGATATGGTATTCGTTTCATTTACAAATTGAAGTTCTGATGTTCACAATTGTTGAAATCAAACTATATTTATAGTGTTTTTACTCTCATTTCGGTAAAAGCGATTTTTTTCAGCAATCAATCAATACTTTTTAAAAAGCATGTATAATTTTATTGAGCTCTCATATATTTTCGAAGAAAATAGTGAGTGTAAGTTTAAAGTCGAAGTTTTGCGACTCCTTGTTCTCATTATAGACAACCCATCATTACAAACCTTAGTAACCAGGGTACCTTGTTACCATGCCACAATTGTCATGTGATCACCATAAAAAGTATGAATTGATCAAGTGTGAGTGCAGGACGTGGGTGGATCTTCTTTGCATCCACATCGACACACACACACATCCTCGTACTGTCTTTTCAATGATTAATAAACGTCTAGAAAATCTCAATGGCGTTGCTTCACTTGGTAATGCTGTTATCTTCAAGAAGGAATATTGTTTCGACAGGAATGCAACTCAATTCCTGCTCTCAGAAATTCACTTGGTGAAGAATACGTCCTACCACAGTTTCTCGTGTCAACAGCCTACTTATCTACTTACTGACTTCTACAAAGTAGATGGCCATGTTCCGAAAAATTTGGATCTCCGCAACAATCTCTCCGGCATTACAACTTTACAAGAGATCAAACCCTTTCGAAAAGCGGCATTTTCTAATACTACTATGTATCTGTAATGGAATATTGCTTCTTTTATTTGAAGAGAATATAATTTAATGGCACTAACACTGCACGAGACGATGTGAAATGAAGATTGCCATGATCATCATGATTTTTCAAGAAACCAAAACTTCTTTCATTATGGTGCCAATCATTCACTGTTTGAAAGAAAAAGATATATTATGCACAGTATCAAGATATTGACTCCGTACAATAGCATTGTCAACGACTAGTGTTCATGGGTCGAAAAAGAACAGAAATCGAAATAAATTTGGCATTTTATTGGCTTTCTGTGAAACGAATCGAGAAAGCAGATAATTGTGGTTCTGCATTTTGATAGTCTACTAATTGGCGATCATATCAGTTTCATTTAGAAATACAATGCTATACCTCTAACAGATGCAATCATTCAATACTTGCCACATCTATTGATATTGAGATCTGTCTCTCTCTATATGAACACGTATCATCATGTGCCTGTCTGCATGAAGAATGAGAGGCAGACGAGCTAGAAAATAAGGCATTTTGCAAAGACTCTATTCTTGTTAATGTATTTCAAAGAAAAATTTATTGTAACCAATATCATCCCAAAAGTCACAATCATTCTTCAAATAGTTCTCTTCTATTTCAAGTGGATCTTGAATGTGCATGTATTTCTCATTTACAGTCGTTAATCTTGGTCACAGTAGCGGTAGTTTCAAAGGTTCATCAGAATCTTGACTCTTGACAAGATTTATCCAATATGTAACCATACTTTGAGATATACGTCAGCCAGTATCAGTAAAATTTGCCTAATATTACTCAAAAGTAAAGAACAGTTCGTCATCGAAACATGAATGATTGCTATATTTAATCGAATTTCTGAAATTTTCGGTATCGAATAGGTTGCAGCTTTCAGAGCAAAGACTCGAATCGAGCAAGCAAATATCCATTAGTGTAGCAGCACGAGCTACTAGCGATCGTTGGTCATCCTCACCGTTTGGCGGGTATTGTTTGAGAATTTTGAATGCCTTTTCTCGGAAGATTAGTAGGTCTATGTCAATATATGCACTTGGCAATATCGGTTGCTGCTATCTTCCATAAAATAAAATCTAGACATTCTTCAATGACTCTACTGATTATCAATGGTTCTAGTAAAAATGATGTATTGCGCACCGTGTTCAAGAGTTGATCGTGAACAGTCATGCTGATAATTACGGGTAACCATGGTTTGAAAAAGAACAGAACATTCAATGAAGTCAACATACTATTCACAACATTTTGAGTAGCAATAATATCGACCATAGAACGAGTTAAAAAACACTCAACATCGCCAATGTCACAGTGAAGTTGTTCAGCAAGGAGAACACTAGGTACAACATATTCGAAATATGTTCCAGATTAGATCAAACAAAATCGTTCGTATCATATTCATCTAATCATTGTATCTAAATGGAACTGTCGTTGGTGCACTTTGGATGATAGCTCGCTGAAAGAATGGCTGCATTTCATCAGTTTCGTAATGTAGAGCAGTAGACTGAACACCAGCACTTTGACCAAACAGCGTAATCTGAAGAAAGAATAGTATAGTAGTGATGCATTGAATGTTTACTTGTTCGAACCTCGTTTGCATCTCCTCCAAATGGATCAATATTAGTTTTGATCCATGCAATCGGCAGATGTTGATCGAATATCCCATAATTACCTTTAATATCCTTAGGACCATTTCCAGTTGCAAAGAACCGAAACACATTTGTTTTTATCATGTTCACATACAGATGCTTAAAAATAATCGACACTTACCTAATCGATATTGAATTAGTGCAACTATGACATTGGTTTGTATTAGCTAAATGTTCAGATTCGTAGATCGATTGTGAAGCATCGCCAAATTGAAAGCTGCCATCGTGAATAAAGATCATCACTGATAGAAGACTCGTACATAGTGAATCGCTGAACAATGGTGTGAATATGTTCAAATAAAGACAGCATTCGGACATCTATCGGGTATGTGTTAATCAGTTATAGGAAATGTTTTCGTTTATTTGAAAAACTGACAGTATTTGGAGTGCGAATTGATGCTATCGCAGTTGCTGGTTGAGAACAAGCATGAGCCGGTTGTGTGGCATTGGTTACCTTAGGATACCATTTAATGACATGTATTGGTGATTGCCATCGGTACAAAAGTAGTTGCACTATGCGAAAACAAGTTATAAGACTTCGCCTAGGACTACCTCAATGTACCGATAGGTGATTTCGCAAATGGAATGTCGTAGAAGACATGAGCCAAATCAGTTTAATAACCTAGTACATCACCATACTGTGTATGTACAATAATAGGTACCTTGCCACAGAAATGTTGTGTAGACAAAGTCATAATGAAAAATAAGTTTACGGACATCATCATCCTGCCGCGCGTTGTAAAACGCATGTGTTCGTCTACCAACCTAACGAATATCCGTTCCGTAAGTCACCGGTAAGGACGACATCGATTATCACATGCAAAGTATCTTGCTAATATTTGGAGAAAAAAACAACGCTCAACGCATCAGTTGTCTTTTGAAGAAGCTCGACGTTTTACATGCACTTCTTTTTCGTATCAAACAGTCCTCTCAACCAATCTATTTTTTCAAATTTTGAAAGCTTCTACTTTTTTTTGAAAATATTGAGCTCATCGTTCAGTACCAAGGGATGCCTAACGTCAATCTTTATTTGTCACTGTAGTTTTGAACACCGTAGCAATTTTTCGAGTTTTAAAAAAACACAACTTCTTACCAAAATTTCTATCATTCTTGTCAAACACGATTGAAGTATTGGATATTACTATAGAAGAGAATACAAAGAGAGACAAAATTCTATTCTATGTCGGTAGACTTACTTGTAGAAAATAAGGAACTAATCTTTGCACTCATAAATCACCCAGATAGGATTTATTTTCTGAAAAAGTTGAATATATTTGATAGGCACCATATTGAAAAGGGAGAATCTATTTATTCTCGGTCGTTATTGTTTTCGATTAGAAATTCGCAAAACTTTTGTCAAAAGCTAAATGTGAGTTATTCAGCGAAAAATTTTCAGCACTACTTTGGATTATTTGTAATCACGAAACTATTCCAATGTACAATTATCAGCATCAAACTGCAGAGAGAGAGACGGCAAACATTGAGATTTCTCATCTGCTACTCTTGTAAAAAGAAACTTGGAATTGATCATTTTGATCTAGAAGGATGTAGCCTGGGTGTGGTTGAAAGAAACGCGGACACATACATACACACACTCACACACCCTGTTTTTAATCTTCAACGTTCATCTATTTTGACTTGTCTTTAACTAGTGACTCATTTGGAAGATACGAGAGCACTTTATTATTTTTTTAGGTACAAAAAATATTGAGACTTTCTTCAGATTGACTATTCTTCATATTGATGACAGCAAAGAATGCTTCACATTTTTCTTATTGACAGAAGAAATTAGGATTAAGAATCTTATCACTAACGTAAATATTTTACGTCATGATCCAATATTTACTTTTCTGTGATGTGAAATTTTCGTTTTACGTATGCTTTCTGTTAATCATTTGATTGTAACTTCTTCATTAAAGGTCTCTGATAGATGTGCGAAGCATACCATGAAGAAGGTGTGCTTGTTGTTGAGAGATAATCGAGTTTTTTTAAATTTATCACCAAGGTCTTAAATGTAATCCCTTCATTCGATTTGACATATCGTTTTTGAAGCCATATATAAGCGTTAAACTAGTATTAGGCTATTAGATTTGGATGTGAGTGTGGACTTTATGTGTGCGTGTGGGTTCGATTCTAGTGTTCATCAACATCCGCGTCCTGCCACACACCCATTCACATCCACATCCACACCTGGCCATCAGTTCCAGTTCTTTTGAAAAAAATTGGGTGATTAACATCAGTTCAGTTCTTAGATCGGGAACTGTCACAGATCTAAACACAAGTGCCATTTTCTTTCATGAACTATAACGAATAGAGAAATCCTTCAATTAAATTATTTTTATGATAGAATTCCGAAAACATTGTATACTAGCCATATCTGGTGAAACTACGATACTTACTTATCGAGCACTAGCATCGAGTTTGGTAAATGACGGACATCGAGATTATATTTCTTATAACAGTTGTTATTTACTGGACTGGGAATTAAATATAACTTTTATTGACTTTCCTAGCGACTTCTGAAATATATATTTTACTCATATAAGGTTTAAAATTGAACCAAATGAAAAATTATTTACATGATGATTCGTTAGTTTCTTACAAATGAAGATATTCGACTTTTTCCAACAAAGTGCAAATAAAATGAGTAAGAAAATGAGTCATTCGTTGTTGGAAAGAGTATGAAGATATCTTTCCATTTGTCCCATTACCTAACTTTGATATAAATAACAAAGCAATATTACACAAAGAATTTACTTACTTTGTGCAGAAACTTAATATCAGATGGTCGAACGAAATCATTTTCTCCATAATGAGTAAACGGAAGATTATTACAAAATTCGAGTTATTACCAAACGGGACATTCATCGAATGTTTCCATAGATATTTTGCATGCATTTGATTTTCTCAATTATCGATTTTACAAACTTATTCGAAATATTCCATTGCATCTAGATTTTGGACATGTGAAAGAATCATTGTTTCACCAATTATGTCAGAAAATAGAATCGGATCCAGAAATCAAAAGTCATGTCCGTTCATTACGACTTTCGAATGAAAGTGCATATAGTCAAATATCTACATTTTTATCACATTTTTCACTCGACCGATTTTCTGATCTTCGGTCACTTTGCTTGACTCAAATCGGTCAAGATAATATACAGGAATTAATATGGATGTTACCACTCTTATCGAATTTGCGTCATCTTAACTTTACGACTTTATCGAATGAAACAAATAAACTATTGGCAGCACTACAGACGTCTACTATACAAGTATTATCGGTACCAAAAATAGAACGCAATTTAGTCCTTATTGACCAATCTATGTCAGTTGTTAATCTAACGATTAATAGTTGTTCTGTGAAAATATTGTGTCAATTCTTCAAATATCTATCTAAATTAAAGTGTCTTTGTGTTAAAAATCTTCATCAATATTCTGACCTGGGACCCGACAAGCATATCGCTCTTCAGTTGAAACAATTGATTATATATGATTTTTGTTCTGGCTTTAATATTCTCGAAATACTTTTAAAGTTAACATATAATTTGAAAAGCTTAATAATATTTGCTAGTGATAATGACCAAATAATTGATGCCTGTCGTTGGCAACATTTTATTACATCTTCACTACTTCATTTAGATACTTTCAAATTTAAATTCGACATTTCATATGAAACTGAAACCAATGATATGTTGCATAAGTTTCAACAATTTCAGAGCGATTTTTGGCATCAACAACATCATTGGTATACCGGATACATATTGTTGAAGCACCGTAGAATCATTCATACTATACCTTATCCATCAAATGACTATACACTTGAACCATGTATTATGAGATATTATAATATACCGCAGATGAATTCAAACTTATTCGAGAATGTTACTAGTTTAGCATTGTATTTGGAGACTATAACAGATACCAATGAATATTACTTTTCAAATGTTAAATCCTTGAGATTAGTCAATATTTGTACTGATGAGAATCATACTTACCCTCTGCTAAAAACAAAACACATTCGATCACTTAAAATGATGATTTATTTATATAACTTAAATTATTTGGAGATCTCATCGTCGTGCAAAATGAAATCTCCATCAATATTATTACAACTATTACAAGAGACACCAAATATAGCATCATTAAAAATCTGTAAAGATACTTTGCTTCAAATGTTCAACAATCGAGAATTATGCGAAAAAATGAACAAAACGATAATGAAATTAGATATTACTAGCAATGAGGCTTCTTCGTGTATAAATCTAAATGAAATAGTCAAAGTTGGTCACATATTTTCAAATATTGAACAACTTCAGTGTTGCTTCAATCTACCGGATAAATTGCCATTATTAGTCAATGAACTAGGAAAATTATCAAATCTGAAACTATTTTCGTTCAGATCACGTTTCACTTATTGTATGAATGAATGGTTAAAAAATCATGCTTCCGAATTAAACAAATATTCATTCACGATACAATGCAAACCGTATGAAGATGATGATTGTGATGATTATGATGATGATGATGATGACTATCAATATGAATTTCGTGATTATCAATATGATGATAATGATGACTATTCGTTCAATCATTACGATTTATTTGATTTTGATAATTATTATTCCAATTTTGACTAGTAGAATGGTTAATATTGTATTTTTCGCAAGCTTAATAAAATATTAACTTAAATGTAAACCAAAGAATTGAAAAGTACCTCGATTATTTTCTGGATTTTAAAATTTTATCTTTTACTTATTCTAGTATACCGCGGCACTTAATCAGTATCATGTACTTTTGTAAATTTTCAGATGCTCTTTCTGAGCAAAATTTCTCAATCTTGAAAATCTGAAAATGATTTCGAACGAACGCTTACGAATGATTTTAATGAATTCAATCGATCAGAGTGCGGCTGTGAAGTGTGAGTGAGTCTGAAAGTGGATATGTAGTTGTGACTATGGAATATAGTGCAGTTTTTCTCTTCATACACGCCCACATCTTACGATAAAAGATGATCGTATATCAAGCATAGGTCAAAGAAATAAAGCTGATATGATTAGATTTGTTATATGTTCATGTTAAATGGTACGACCCCAAGAAACATGAACCAAGTACATACGTACTCATGAACACAAATGGTTATCCTTCTTTTAACAGTGATATAGCACACACGGCAGAATACGGCACATTTATGGTGCACGGTAGATATGGACTAAAAGACTGCGTACAACTGCATGGCAAAATATCTATCGTTGATGATTTGAATTTTCACCATCTACGTCTAGAAAGTTGTCGTTTTTCATGGTTTACTGTCAGAAAACGGACATTAAGCAGTACCGTTTTTGTCTATAGGAAAACTGGTCAGGAAAAATAGCAGAATAATGAAAAAGTCAGATGACAACGACTACTAAGTAACTGGTCGCATTCGGATCGATTACTAAATATTCAATTTATTGTCTACTAAAAGTTTTTTTTTTCTTAGAAAGCCCAATCTTCATTTTTTTCAACCACTACTACTTTGTATGATACAGAGGATTTTTTTTAAATACCACAATTGAAGAATAGTTTGCATCATGGGATCGAATTGATTTCGCCCTCATGTTTCTGAGACATACTGAAGAGCACAAAAAATTAGTTACTCTTATTCAAGTGTAGATAAGCATTTGAGTGCATTATACTTTGTTCACATACCATACTCTCCATATAGTCACTTTTGTGGGTGGCCAAGAAAAAATGAAAATAATGTTTTAATATCTTACCTCCCGACATGTGACTGAAGCGTAGAACGAAAGACAATTCGAAAGGACTGTTTTACATAGTAGTAGCACATTGACAAAATATCATAAAGTGACTGGCAACTTATATCTGAAAAACAGTGCCAAGCCGACTCTAATCGAAAAATGTAGCTCGCAATATCGATCGAAGGATGCGCTTAAGTGATTTTTATTCGATATCTGTCACATCTGTTGTCTCGTCACTTCTAGAAGAACATTGGATGCGACACCAAGTTCTTCCAGCATAGGGATGCTGCTCTCGTGCTCAGAGATTTCGAGTTATTAATTATCAAAACATTGTATGCTCCCAATGGTCTCTTCTCAACCATTCGAAACATTGAACTGGCCAAGATTTTTATTGTTTCGAGTTACTCTGATATAGTCTATTACATGGATATTTTGTATTAAATTCAGTGAAGATGTTCAATTAAAAGCATTGCGTGAACAAATGAAAAAATAGATCTGCTGGGTGTGAGAGTAGTCCTTCCCTTTACCCACACTCTCAACCTCTTCGGTAGATATCTATGAAAACGCAAATGATGAGATTTTCACCTGAAATTTCATGTGTAGACAGACATCACAACAATTAGAATATTTTTAAAATTTTCGCTCAAACAAATATTTTTTTCTTGAGATATCGAAGAATAGTCGATTCTATTGGTTCGCCTGTAAGGTCTTGTTACTCTTTGAACATACAATATCTCATGTAAAAGAAATTCATTGGAACTGAAATTTTTAAAATATTCAAGTATGATTGAAATCTATCTATTGACAGAATTTCAGTGAGAAATCTCATAATTCAAGTTTGCAACCTAAAAGAAGCTGAAAACTCCACGAAAACGATCATAACTGGGTAAATAAAGCATGAATACAGATCTTTTGAGAGTTCAACTAATCTTATTGATCTTACTTATGAGATAAACAGGAGCACAATCGACATTCGACAGCTCGAGATGTTTTCTCATGAGATTCAATCAATTTATTCAATTTTAATAAGACCTTTCTTTAGTATTACTGGTAACATGTAAACATCCATACATTCAATTGTACTTGATGACTCAGAAAAAGTTTACAGTTGATGAAAATTATTGTTCAACAATGCAAAACTTTAATTATATTACTTCCTAAATAAAAATATTATTCATGTGTAATACTGTAATATTCAAGAAATTTTTATCTAAAAAACAGGAATAGATTTATTTATCGTACAGCGATTTCGACTGAAATTAGTTGCTAACAGTGGTGTTTTATTTTTATTTAAAGTAGCTAATATGAATACATTTATTTTCTATAATACGCTCCAGTAAGAGCAGTCTTGTTCTATAGCTCAACTACAATATCGATCAGCTTAGTTCAATAACAACTTCTTTTGTTATACATTTGTAAGTTACTATATAATTTCATTTTACAACTATGAAAAAATATGGTATTAATCGAAATGAAATCTAATTATTGGTATCTGTTTCTTATATTTGCTATGAAATAAAGCTTCAAGATTTATCTATATCATTCACTGAGCATTTTATTTTATGCGAATGAGAAAAATTTTTCAATTTGTTTACTTTTAAATGTGCATGTCAACATCTAGCAGTAAAATTAACAAGATATCTGAAATCTATTAACCATCAGTTTCTTTTGAGCCACCTTTCTAATATTCCAACATGAGATTTGCTATACACACATGACTTCTCTATCATGTTTATTGTAATAAAATAAACAAGTATAGATACGCATTTAATAAAATACTATTAGAGAATAGTTTGCGTAACGTATGTAACAGAAAATCTCTATTGAATATGCGAGATAAAAGTGAGCAAAAAATTTAACAGAAGAGCTGAAAGGAAAATGCATCCAACGTATACTAATTGCTGATTTATAACATGAAGAATCTTTGAATATGAGATACTGTTCGATGAAATGAGAACATTAATAGATAATAAAGTTTTTTCTACGTATAATTTCAATCAACTGAGCTTTTGATAAGTCAAACGTAATGTTTGCATTTAAAAAGTTCTTGACGATTATGAATAATATGGATTTAGCTAAAATCGTAAAACAGTGATGTTTTATCACTCAAGGTTTCTCATTCGTCTTGAAACAAAAAAATGTTATGCTTATAAGTTTACATATGGTAAACAATCACAATAACAAAATATTCTATAGCTTATGAATCATCAAGGTGTTCGTTGCTTTCTTTTTTACCCTCCGATGATAAATAATAACATAATATTTTTTATTATTTATTAGGTTGGGATTTGCTTTTTCCAGTAGATGACTAAATATCATTAAAGACATAGACAACGAAAAATGTTTGCCATTCTATGTACGGATACTTTGAAATGTCCCATTACTTGTGAATTATTTTGTGAACCAGTAGTAGTTGAATGTAGATAAAAATCGCAACAATAATGATAAAGAATATCGACCTACTATGTTACAGCAGATCAGATTACTATCTGTGTAACGTCAAGCCTTATATAATGCATTAGAATATCAAAAAATGACTTTTTTCTCATAAATCAGTCCAGTTGCTATTTCGCATCGTTGAAATCACTCGTTACACTGGCTCTACATGTTCTCTACGTTTCAATTCGAATTTATCTTGGCCAGAATAGTTTGCTGTTTTGACAACTCGTTGTCCATCGAATTGTTGTGCCTAATCATTCCATTTCATACTAATTTTAACTTGATATCCGAGATTTTCATGTGGATCTCCGATTTCACGTTTATATTGTTTCATTAAAGCAATATTAGTGTCACTTGTTGAGTAATTTCCTGTAATATGAAACGAGCCGACATCATCATATCCACTACCTTGAATGTTCCCATTTATGAATTGAAGTTGAACAAAAACCGGTCCATGCCATTTATAGTATGGATAATAACGCAGATTATAACTATCCGATTGAAAGATGTTTGTTGTCGATGTTGTAAAATGTAGAATTTGAGGAAGGACAATAGGAAGTGGATTCGATGACCCATTAGTTTTCTTCGATAGATATGGCGTCTCTCTACAGTATTCACAAGTACAAATCGAAAAACAACAATCAACAAGAAGACGATGACAATGTCATGAATATTGTTTCTCAATGTATTTAAATTAAAATGTTCCTGACTCGGAACAATCTTGAAACGAATTTCTTCGAAAATTAACTGAGCGTATTCGTTCATAGTGACATCTATTAGTCAGATAGTGTGAACCATCGCTTCTAATAGACAACTATTTTTGACTAGATATGATGCATTATCAAACTTGGAAAGTCAGTGATTTTCTGATCACTCTTTAACTTATCAGAGCTACCTAAACTACCTCCACCACCACATACACCTTGCGCTTATGTGAATTGTATCATGAAAAGTGCCGTTACCAAACTTGTGACAAATAAAACAAGAGTATACAACGAGATGTGACTCCCATTATGAGTACTCAACAACTCGGAGAACATGAAACCGATGAAAATACCAAGTGGCTACCAGAATGAAATAGAAGCAAACGAATTTAAGTCTTGTTCAGTTTTTGTTTGTATTACACTCAACGTTGACAGAACTCGTAGAAGATAATGTGAATGAAAGAAGAAAAAGAATACGTGATTTTTAGTCCGCCAATGTAGAATCAATCGAAAGCATGACATGTAGCACACGTTTAGAGAAGACCCTTGTTTTCTTCGAAGAGAATTGACGTGTTGCAATGAAAACGTACAGTTCTCACTAAACGTATATGGAGTTGGATGCAGATTCGAGTAAACCGCTCTCCGCTATAGAAGACTCTGAATCTGTCATTAAATCAATGCGTACAACGTTTTCAGGCGAATCTTCTATTTTGTTCGATTTTTTTTCATAATTTTTAATCAAAAAAAGTTGCTCAA